GCTATTGTCCCATATGGAGTCAGACTTTAACGGCGCGTCTCTGGGGTGGGGTGGGGGTGGTGGGTGGATCTGGCGCTAACCCCGTCTCTTCCCCTAGTGGGGGCGCCCATCCTGGTGCCCCGGACGCCCTGCCCGTCCCGCGAGGCCATCGACCGGCTCCATGCCACCTACCTGGAGCAGCTCATCGCGCTCTTCGAGGAGAACAAGACCAAGTATGGGGTCCCCCCAGAGAAGCACCTCAACCTCATCTAGGGGCGCTGCCCCCCAGAGCCTGCCGCAGCGTGCCGGGACTCTGATACGGCGGGTGGGGATCAGGCCCTGTGGGGAGCAGTGGGGAGGCTGCTCTGCTGGGGGGCAGTTCTTATTGGGGGGCCCCCATGGGGAGCCCTCAGGGGCTTGTTTTGGTTCCCCTTCAATGGGGAGGGGGCCCTAGAGGGGAGAACTTGAAGGAACCCCAACTTGGCCGCTCCCTGCCCCCCACTTCTTGCCCCAGGGTCTGGCTGCCCATCTCAGGGTACCCCAGCCTCCCCAGCAGGGGTGTGGGGCTGGCTAGGGGCTGTGGGGTGTGCTTCCAGCCAGCCTCGCTCTGAGTCAGGGGGCGTGGGGCAGAGACTGCCCTTTCTCCTGCAGACCTCTGCCCCCCCTGGATTCGCCTTGCTGCAATAGGGCAGCGGTTGTGAAACTGGCTGTGGGTCCCAGGGCTGTCTGGGCAGCATCTGCCCCCCCTCCCCCATTACTGTTTGAAGTGGGCCTGGGCCAGACTGTAACTCCAGTCCCACGGGGCTTGCAATAAACCACCTTCCTGTGCGATCGGCTGCTGTCCTGTGTGTGGGGGACCGGGTGGCACCGGGGCAGGGGGTGCCGGGCTGCCGGGGTTTGTGTAGGGAGGGGAGTGCTGCCTCCACCCTGCCTCAGGTCACACAGCAGCTGGGGGGCAGAGCCGGGAGAGAACCCAGGAGTCCTGGCTCCCAGCCCTCACTCCCCTCCCAGAGCCGGGGAGAGAACCCAGGAGTCCTGGGTGAAGAGCCAGCCTCTTGTCCTGAGGCACTCAAAGGCGGTGGGGGCTGGATGCTGTAACCAGCCGGCCCCAGAGCAGGAGACGGTTAAACATTTATCTTTCTGCAAACTTGGCCCAGGGCTGGGCAAAGGGCACCAGCAGACAGGCCGGGCATTGAGAAACCGAGGCAGCGTGGCACAGGGGCTGGGGACACCAGCGTGGGAGCCAGGACTCCTGGGTTCTCTCCCTGGCTCTGGGAGGGGAGTGGGGGCTGGTGGGTCAGAGTAGGGGGGTCTGGGAGCCAGGGCTCCTGGGTTCTCTCCAGCTCTGGGAGGGGAGTGGGGGCTGGTGGGTCAGAGGTAGGGGGGTCTGGGAGCCAGGGCTCCTGGGTTCTCTCCCCAGCTCTGGGAGGGGAGTGGGGGCTGGTGGGTCAGAGTAGGGGGGGCTGGGAGCCAGGGCTCCTGGGTTCTCTTCTAACCCCCTCTGGTCTAACTGCATTACATCCACTTCCTTACGAACACAAGCTGCCAGCCTAGGTTAGCCCCAAGGTCCGTCTTGCCCTGTGTCTGACGCCGACTAGTCCCACAGCCCCAGGGGCATTGTAGAGAACAGGGGAACGGTGGAAAGCCCCTGGGTGTCTTGTCCTGACATAGGGACCCCCAGCATGTGGGGCTGCCCTCAATGGACCTGTTCTCCAGGCACTGATCGCGGTGGGGTTTGACCTCGGTCACACCGTCCCCTAGCAGGGCGTCCCACAGGCTAGTTGTGTGGCCAACCACGGCTTCCTCTGGTTTGTGTTAACCCGCTGGCGGGTGCCGCCGGATCGGGTGTTATGGGAAGGAGGAAATGACAGGCCTCGTGTTACAGCCCTGGCTCGTATCCTGCCCCCCGTCCCCCCCGAGGCGTCTGTTTCCCCCGGGCTGGAGACGTTCCCTGCTCATTGCCTTTCCCTGGTCCGCTCGATGCTGGGCGGGAGGGGACGCCCGGACGTGGGACACCATGTCCAGGGGCCTGCCCCCTAGCGCTTTACAGAACCACCCCAGAAATCGGCGCCCGAGGGGCCCATCTACGCTGGCGTCCTGGCTGGCTTGAGGGGGGACGTGCACCTCCTAATGGCTGATGCCAGAAACACCAGCTGCTGGGCAAAATATCGCAGCTCCCCCCCCCCCGCTTGTTCGAGGTTCTTTACCTAACCAGCTGCAACTGGGGAGAGGGGCCTGCCCCTCCCTGCAGCTGAGGGGGGCTGGACTGCCTCCCATGGGTGCCAGCTCCTCCTAGCAATGCAGCTCCTGCCTGAGGCTGGGGGGGGGGAGGTGGGGTGCCCCCTGCAGCTGGGGTGGGGCTGTGTAAGGGGGTGCAGGGGCCCCCTGGGGGTGCAGTGGGTCTAGGAGGGGCCTGGACTCTGCCCCGATCATCCCCCACCCAGCTCTGGGCCTTGGATTAGGGCTGGGCATGGAGGGGGTCTCCCTGGGCCGAGTGGTAGCAGCTGGCTAAACACTGAAGAAAATGAGGTGCAGAGGGGAGGAAGGGAGGTGCCTAAATCTAGCAGGAGTCCTGGTTCTCAGCCCCACCCTGCTCTAACCACCAGCCCCCACTCCCCTCCTAGAGCCGGGGAGAGAACCCAGGAGTCCTGGCTCCCAGCCCCCCCTGCTCTAACCACCAGACCCCACTCCCCTCCTAGAGCCGGGGAGAGAACCCAGGAGTCCTGGCTCCCAGCCCCCCCTGCTCTAACCACCAGACCCCACTCACCACCTAGAGCCCAGGAGAGAACCCAGGTGTCCTGGCTCCCAGCCCCCCCTGCTCTAACCACCAGCCCCCACTCCCCTCCCGGAGCCCGGGAGAGAACCCAGGCGTCCGATCCGCGCCAGGCCCTGGCTCTCAGTCTCTCCCTGCCCCCCCCCCGCCCAGCTTATCTCCTGCCCCGCCGGAGTCTCATGTCGCTCCTGGGGGCAAAGTGCGTCGTCGTGAGTGGGACGAGGATCCGGAGCGGGGAGCAGGCCCCCAGGACGTGGAGTTGGTGGTGAGAGCCCCCTGCTGCTGGGGGGGCAGGGGCCGGGCTCGGGGGGGAGGGCAGGGGCTGGGTGAATCTGTGTGTGTGTGTGTGGGGGGGTCAGTTCCTCTCCCCTCCACAGGGTGTTGTGGGAGCCAGAACTCCTGGGTCCTACCCATCCATGCCCCCCACTATCCCTCCATCCCCCCACCCCCAGAGCTTGGTCAGCCCTCCCATCCGTCCATCCATCTCCCACACCTCCCTATGTGTATGTCTCCCTTTCCCCCTGGGGCTCACGTGTCCTCACGCATTTCGGGGGGGGGGGGATTTGTAGGGTAAACAGCTCCCATGCCCTGTCTCAGAGCCAGGACCATATAACCAGCCCCGTGCCCCACCCCAGAGGTGGCCGCATCTCAGCGCCGGGAGAGGGGTCCCCGTGTCACCGGCCGCCCCGCCCCAGAGGTGGCCGCATCTCTGCGCCGGGCGAGGGGTCTCAGGGTCACCGGCTGCCCCACCCCAGAGGTGGCTGCATCTCAGCGCCGGGCGAGGGGTCCCTGTGTAACCGGCTGCCCTGCTCTAGAGGTGGCTGCATCTCAGCGCTGGGCGAGGGGTCCCCTGGTCACCGGGTTGCCCCGCCCCAGAGGTGGGCGCATCTTGGCGCCAGGCGAGGGGTCCCCGGGTCACCGGCCGCCCCGCCCCAGAGGTGAGCATATCTCGGTGCTGGGAGAGGGGTCCCTGTATAACCAGTTGCCCCGCCTCAGAGGTGGGCGCATCTTGGAGCTGGGCGAGGGGTCCCTGAATAACCAGCTCCCCCACCCCGCAGGTGGCAGCATTTCAGAACCGGGCGAGGGGTCCCTGGATGAAGAGGTGGCCTGCCGGGCCCGGACTCTGTTCTCTCCTTGCAGGCGGGGGCTTCGTGGAGCCGGGCTCCCTCCAGCAGGATGACGGGTGCTCTGAAGAAGCACCTTGAGCTGCTGAGCGTTTTTCAGTGGGTTATGACCTTCCTCTTCTTTGGTAAGTGAGGCCGAGAGGGCTGGGGGGGGGGGGCTGACTCCTGCGATGGGGGAGGTGGATGCTGCCAGATAGGCCTTTACACCATCCCCTGGCAAGGAGTTCCGCAGGTTAACAAAGCAGTTTCTCTTGTTGGTATTAAACCTGCTGCCTTTTAATTTCGTCGGGCGACCCCTGGGATCTTGTGTTGTGTGAAGGGGTAAATAACACTTCCCTGTTTGCTTTCCACACCCCAGCCCTCATTTTATAGACCTCGATCGTATCCGCCCTTAGGCGTCTCTTTTCCAAGCTGAACAGCCCCTGTCTTTTTAGTCTCTCCTCGTATGGGAGCTGTTCTGTACCCTGGATCACCTGTGCTGCCTTTCTCTGAACCTTTGCCAGTCCCAGTAGATCCTTTTTGCAATGGGGCGACCGCATCTGCACACAGTATTCAAGATGTGGGCGTACCAGGGATAATATTTTCTGTCCTACTCTCTATCCCTTTCTTAATGATTCCCAACGTCCTGTTCGCTTTTTTGGCTGCCGCTGCACATTGAGTGGATGTTTTCAGAGAACTCTCCACAATGACTCCAAGACCCTTCTTGAGTGGCAACAGCTAATTTAGACCCCATCATTTTATATGTATAGTTGGGATTATATTTTCCCATGTGCGTTGCTTTACATTTATCAACATTGAATTTCATCTGCCATTTTGTTGCCCAGACACCCAGTTTTGAGAGATCCTTTTGTAGCTCTTCGCAGTCTGCC